GGGGGTGGGGGTGGGGTGGGGATTGAAGCCTGCAGAGTCAGCTCCCTGCTGCCTGGGACTCTTGGGAGGGCAGAGAGGGCCATGGCACTAGACACACAGGCCCCCTCCCCCGGCCAGCCTCCCCAATGACCAGCCTCCTCCATTCCTCAGACTGTTCCTCCCCCCTCAAACCAGTGCCCCCTCAAACGTCCCCCTCAAACAAGTTTCCCTCTCTAACTGGGCAGGTCATTGAGGGCTAGGGGGCCAGGCAGGGCTTTGTCTGTCATCTGGCTACTCCTGCCTGGCCCTGGGCCCTGAGTAGGGAAGGGCTTGGGTTTCCTGACAGGGACCAGGTTTCTCAGAGGGAAAAGGAGGAAAGAAAAACAAAGAAAAGGAAGAAAAGGAGTGACTTGCTGCAGCTGGAGCCCAGCTGAGGGGCCGGGTGGGCGGAGGTGGGGGTGCTGTGAGAGACCAAGTGTGAGGTTGTGGGACAGCATGCGATCAGGAGGCCTGTTGCGAGTGTGCTGCGAGTCAGGGGAGAAGCAGTTTTTTCAAAGACAGTGCAATTGTGAGGCTGTGTGTGTAACTCTGAGAGGCTTTGTGTGTGTGACTGAGACTCTGATTGGCTGTGTGTGACTGAACGACTGTGTGTGTGTCTCAGCGAGAGGCTGTTTGAGTTTGAGGCTGCCTGTATGCGTAAGGCTGTGCGGCCCAGGCACTCTGCGAGAGCACGTGTAAGTGCGCCACTATGTCTGAAACAGTGACAGCAAGACTATATACCTGAGACCCTACATGTAAGATGGAGTTTAAGCCTGAATGTATTTTTCAAACTGGGTGGGGAAGGTGCCCAGAATTCCAAGTGTGTTCCCGTGTATGAGCTGAACACTGTGTGAGAGCACGTTAGAAAGAGCTCACATGCATACATATCATAGTATCACTCGGGGCATGAGGAAGTGTTCTTGATGCCCAGGCATCCTGAGTTGCCTCTTGTGGGGACTCCTGAGATGTCCAAAGGATGTTGTGAGCCAGTGGCAGGGTGTCCCTGGGTCCCATGCAGGGCAGTGTGTACATGTGCATGTGTGCGTGTGCATGTGTGCGTGTGCCCTCGCTGGCCCAGGCTTTGTTTGTTTTCCTCCTAATTGGCTTGTGTTTCCATGTCCAGCCCACCAAACCGCATGTTTTTCCTCTCATCTCGCCAGCCCGCCTGGGCTGGAGCCCCCGGCACGCACGAGGCCTGCCCGCCGGCCCAAAGAGGAGGGAGGGGCAGGCAGCCCACACTCCTGGCCAGGCCAGATTGGGCTGGGCTGGGCAGGGCAGGACCCTTCCAGCTCCAGCCCTGCCCAGGCCCCACCCACACTCCTCCTCCTGCCTGGCATTCAAGGGCCATGGCCTGTCCCAACCTTATCTAGTGGCATCCCTTGACATACCTCAACTTCTGGACTCCCAAATGCCCCCTCCTCCCTCCCACAGGCTGCTCTTTCCTTCCCAGCCAAACAAGGCTGAGGGCAAAGTAGTGCTAAACCAGGGGGTCTGGAGCTCCCATCCTGACCGATCAAATACAAATTTTAAAAAACTGGATAAGGAACTGTCCAATTTATTTTTTATTTTTAATTTTTTTTAATCCTCACCCAAGGATATTTTTTTCATTACTTTTCAGAGAGAGTGGAAGGGAGGGGAAGGGGGGGGGAGAGAGAGAGAGAGAGAGAGAGAGAGGGAGAGAGGGAGAGAGAGAGAGAGAGAAACAATGATATGGGAGAGTCACATCAATTGGCTGCCTCCCGCTCAATGCCGACTGGGGCCAAGGATTGAGCCTGTAGCTGAGGTATGTATCCTTGGTCAGAAAAGAACCTGGGACCATTCAGCCTGTGGGCCACACTCTAACCACTGAGCCATACCAGCTAGGGCTGTCCAATTTAAAGTTAGTAGATTAATCTCTGATTTGTTTTAGCTTAAAATCAGAATGACACTGCATTAGCAGTGTCTAGTAAAAAAAGACTATTAAAGGTTAGAACCTTGTGATCTTATTTCCTAACTGGGGGGGCTTCATCATCCTGGGCAGGGGCTCCTCAGAGCTGTTTCTGAGTATCCACCTGAGGGCAGGAAGATGAATCAAGAGAAAGCAATTCAGGGATCAGTCTGATTAAGAGGACTTTCAACAGAATATTTTTATGATCAGGTTCCCTTGGAAATCGTATATATTTAGGATAAATATTAAATAATTTTTGTTTTGAATGACCCACAAATCAGGGGAACTTTGTCCTGTTCTCCGAGTGCTGGCAAGAAGGATAATTTGATATCGAGTGTTTCCAAACCCAGTCTCTTGTTACTAATATAAAGTGACTGAGACAATCATGATTAATGTCCCCTGTTACTCTGACCAGCTCTTTAGAAGGAAAGAAGACAATGAGAGATAAATACCTGTTACTAATGCTACAGCCAATTCATGGCCAGCTCTCCTCTGACAGGCAGGGCTGGGGAGTGGTCAGTACTATATATAAAAGGTCTGGGCTCTGGTCACAACAGGGCAGTTGTGGGCATATCCTGTGTGTACAGACTATAGTAATTACTTCTAGACCCAATTCCCCTCAAAGAAGATCAAGTCATTGGGAATGGGGCCCAGGGTCACCAAGGCCCAGCCATTACTGCCAACCTTGTCCATCCTGAAGACTTATGGGAATCAAACTGAGAAGTCAGGAGTGTAAGTGACAGTGCCAAGGTGGCATCATCCTTCTTCCATGGCACTCAGTATATGCACCCCCCACCCAACCCTCCTCAACCCCCAGTAAGGTAGGGAGGCCGGGGGAGGGGGTGAGCGGAGGTGGGGGAAAGCTGAGTCCTTCTCTGCTCCGGGTGGGTCAAGGGAGACTCCTGTAGGCTGGTCCTACATTTCTAGACCTGGCCAACAGGGGTCACTCCACCCTTGGCTTGCAACTAAGTTGTTTGGTTAGGAAAGCGATCTCTAAAGTTTAAACATATTCAAACAAAGGCTTTTCTGTGGGGAAAGGAACATTCCCACCAAAACATATTTGCACCCCTCTTCTAGCCCTGAGGACCCTGAGCAACCCTTCAATCTAACATTTCCCATGGTTTTCCATACCAATCTCCTGGCAGTGGGGTAAGGGCCTGCTCCCAGGACCCTCAAGCATCTTCTCCCCTCAGTAGCTGCCAGGGAAAGTAAAGAAACCATCTTCAAGCAGTGGGGTGCAGAGAAGCTTGAATCTTTGGCTCAAGGAGAAAAATAAAACTGTTTTCTGAGTACTTATTCTGTCAGTGGGAGCCTCTGGCTGGGATCCGGATGCTGACCCTCATCAACACTGATAACCTCATCCTTCTAAGTTCTCCAAACTCTTCTGCCAAATCCCACTCACCTGGGCTTCCCTCTACCTTCCTATTGGCTCCTCTCTTTGTGGCTCATTTCTCTCCATCAACCCCTTATACAATGATGGTCTTCGGGGCTCATTATGGGTCCTCTTCTCTCCACATCCCACAGTCTCTCCCTGGGCCATCTCATCCCTCCCATGGCCTTAATGTTGACAACTCTCCAAATTCCCATCTCCAGCACAGACCTCTCCCCTGAACCCCAGACCCTTAGATTGACTACCTACCAGCCATCAATTCCTGGATGTCACTCAAAGACCCCAACAAATGTGTCTATAGCAGATATGGATGGTGCCATAGATCCCTCACCCATACATGCTGCTGCTTCTGCAGTTATATGCCTAAGAGCTTTCTTTGGCCACCAAAGCCTGCATTGCCTGCTGAGGCACCAGGCCAAAAGTGCTGGAGAATTAACAACATCCCTGCCCCCACCCCAGGAGAATCCCCCAACCAAGGATGGGCAGGAGTGGTATATAAACACCCAAGCTCCCTCACCCCTCTGGCAGGAGACCTCTGAGGTGCATGTTCTGCCTGGGATGCCAAGATTCCCCCAGTGGATTAAGCTCCAGGAGCCCAGACTTAATGGCTGATAACTCTTAACTTCCTATCATTTTCCCATTCCCCTACGGTGTTTCTGTCACCTGCCAAACTACTTATATGTGAATTCTCATCTTGGGATCTGAGTCTAGGGAAACCCAAAAGACACTGTCCAAATGGAACATACTAACTTCTTCAGTAGACCCTCATACTGTGTCTCTGTTGTAGTGAATGATACCGCCAGCTGTCTTGACTCCTCTTGCTCTTTACTCTCCTGTCCTCCCCACCTCTAATCCTTCTTTTCTGAGCCTTCCCAAGTTCCCTTACCTATACCTACATAACCACAGATCCCATTTTCCTCCATAAGGCCCTCATGGCCATCCCCTGAGAGCACACAGTGGAATGTGACTACTCCCACTCTGAGCTGTGACCCTGGATTACTCCCCACCAGGCCCCAGATGGGCCATGACCTTGCCAGCCCTCCTCTACCCATCTTGTCATAGGAACAGGATTTCAGGATCTCAAAGACCTCTAGGGTTGGAGGGGAGATACATGTACAAAATACCCAGGGGTCTGGACTCAGTGGGCAAGACTTGGCTCAGAGGTCGGAAGAGCAGGCCGAGATGGAATCAGAGGGCAAAGGTAAGGGTGCAACAGCCTTCTTCCCTCCACCAACAGAAAAGGGACTTGATCTAGGCCAAGGGTCTGGGTCTCACTGACAACCCCTTTGAGTGAAGTAGGGGATCGAATGAGGGGTTGGAAGCAACACTTACAGCCCACATGTAGAATGACTTGGTGGTGCAGGTGCCAGGAGTCACGATGGAAGCAGGCGTAGAGGCCACTGTGGCCCAGTTCCAGGCCACGGAGCACGAGCTGAGAGCCATTGAGCAGGTCAGGGGTCAGGTCTGTCCCGTTTACCCGCCACGTCACAGCTGCATCCCAGTTGGCTGTCCCACATGGCAAAGTCACGTCTGAGCCCAGGCGCTCGTACTGCACGTGGGGTGCCTCTGTGGGGATGGGGAGGGCACAGAGCAAAAGTCACAGGTCACGGCTGTGCCCAGCAATCCCAGGTGAGTGTGCAAGGATGAGAGCCTGTGAATGTGCACAAGTGAGGAGTCCAGGTCAAGACGCTCTGTCTGACCTGGGGAGATGAGGAGAGTGCAAAATGTCCCCATGACTGTGCAAGTGTACAGGTATGTGAGTGCCTCCAAAACTGTGTGTGTGTGAATGGGTGATCTTTTCTGTGTGTGTGTGGG